GGACTAGTCCCTGCAGTTTTCTTGGCAAGATTTTGGAAGTGGTTTGCCATTGCCTGCTTCCTAGGGCTGAGAGAGAGTGACTGGCCCAAGGTCACCCAGCAGGCTTTGCGCCTAATGTGGGATTAGAACTCAGTCTCCCAGTTCCTAGCCTGGTGCCTTAACCACTACACCAGACCAGTTCTCTTATTTATACTTACCATGGATGTTTTATGTAATGTATATTTTGTTCACCATTGGGAGTCTTACTAGTAGATTACAAGTCAAATAAATTCTGCAACATATTTAAGTCTTCATAATATGTGGTTCATATATTTTTATGATGACATAAAATGCTAAAGAGTATAAATGTCTAGAAAATTCATCCTTGAGATAAATGTCAGTTTAGGATAGTATCTTAATCTCTGCTAAACTTTCCTTCTTAAATTCACTTTTCTGTGCTAATTAAAAAGATAAAACTTAGCAAAAAGGATATTTCTCTTTGCTCTTGCTGTATTGCTATTGCCATTGACTGGCACGAGATTTTTTAATCAGTATAATTTATAATAGGGTATAACAACTTAATGAAAAGATTTTTGCAAATTTAGTTACCATGATCTCTTTGTGCATATTCATTCTATTCAGCTTTATGAAGTGTTTACAGGTTTAAATTAAACACATGAAGTCTGCACTGGCTTTAAAATCAAAATACTGTATTTTGTTTTTATACAAGATAAATAATATGCACACCTTTAAAAAAAATTAGGAATAGTTATTTCTGAACACTAATAAAATGCTAATTAAATGATATAAATTAAGTAAAAAAGCAAAGCCTTTTTTTACTAAAAGAATGAATTTGTGCAAGATTCCTATCTTCATTACCAAACATTATTGTCCTGGTACAGTAATTCTTACCAATATGCATAGTCTAAGTTGGACTGTCAAAGGAATAGAGAACAGGCTATCCAAAGTAGAATTAGTCAATAGACCAAAAATAGTATATAGAAACAAACAAGAAATTTGGAGAAGAAATTGAGAGCTATAAAAACAGAGTTACATTTTTTATTTATTTATTACAATAACTTTTACACCACCCAATCCAAGAATTCTGGACAAAAAATATAAAAACTTATTCAACAATTTCCTCAATTAAAACTCAGTTAAAAATTCACAATGCAATAAAAATCATGCTTATAATGATGGCCCCCTAACAAGGACTAAGAGTCAAATACTTATCTTGGGTGCAGCTAGGGAGAAGACCTGTCTTCCTGTCCATGCTCTCCTCACCTCCTGCCCAGATGGAACCATCAGCACCTGTCAGGTTCAGCCCAAGAACAACAACGAGGCAATCCAATACAGTTCAGTTCCTTTATTAGCTTGCACCTAATAGTCAGAATCTCGCCAGACTAAACGTGTGCTAAAGCAACTAGTGGATATACTGTGTGAGACTCTAGGGAGGGGCCAGCCTCATCCTCTTCATCTTCCCACACTCTTGTTGAGGGCTGAGGAGGCGCTTTCCCTGGAATGCCTCTCCCCCCTCCTGACAACCTTGAACTTCCATTCCAGAATCTTCCCCGCTTATGCCATCCATTTCAGCACCTCATTAAGCAGGCAAAATCAGACTGAGGCAATCCCTTAAATAACCCAGCATTGTGCTATATGCTTTACATATCCTAATCAGCACATTTCATTTAAATTATCAAAAGCTGGCTGCTAACTAATGCAGCAACTACACCTTATTATTGTTTTCCTGGAGTAGGGGATTCCCAAGTCAGCAGTCTGGTTGTTGCATTTTGTACCAGCTATGGGTTATTAATTGTCTTCAAAGACAGCCCTCATGCAGTAGTCCAACTACCTGGTCATAAGGATATGAGTTACAACCATCAAAACTTCATGGATCAAGTAGGTCTATAACTGGTGCACCTGCCCAAGCTGAGCAAAGGCCCTTCTGGTCATGACCTCCACCTTCTGTTTAAGCAAGAACCATGAGTCCAGGAGATCACTCAAGTCAAGGATCAGCTCATTCCAGGGAAATGATTTCATTCTTTACAAATGACCATCAACTCCATCTTACTAGAGTTTCATCTTAGGGTTTTTTTAAATCTATTCTCTCATACTCTAAGCACAAGTTCAGGACTTTTACAGTATCTCCAGCTTAGCCATTGTACAATTGTATTTTGAGTAACATCACTATGCTTGGTGAGTTGGTGAATAAATTATCTGGGATAGGTTCATGTAAACCGTGAATTCCCAAGCTAATGCAGACCCCAGTTCTAGGGAATGGAGACTGGCGTCCCCAAGCAGTAAAGTACCAACAACTCCAATATCAGCCCAAAAATAAGGCCTAGGAGCTTCTGGAGGGCCACTACTGAGCAACAGGCAGTCAACACATCAGCAACAGTCCTATCTTATCTCTAGGGCCCAACTTTACAAACAGTGATTTGTATCTAGTTGCCTCTGGCATAGAGCTGCTGGTCGCTGCCAAAATTTCATAAATATAGTATAGTAGCAATGCATTCTCCCTACCCTTGGCATTATGGTAGCTGCAGGGCCTGACCCCCAGGAAGGCAGATTTCCAACACAGACACTTACCTCAAAAATGCATGCAAAATCACCAGTTAGTGACCTGAGATAAGCAAAGATAAGGTACTGTACAAATGACAGGAATGAATGACAAGTTTTTTTCCATTTGAAGTATATACAAAATTTGCATATTCTGAATGTATAGGGGAACCATATTTTGTGATGCAGTTTATATCTGAGAAAAAGCTGTATATAACTGAAATAAAGTAAACACATATGGATATCACGTTGCCTTTTTGTCCATGTCATACACATGTTATTTTATATATCCAACTAGAGGCTACATGTGTACATTTGTACTCAGATTGCCTTGTAATATAAATAAGTATATATTAGTGCTGGAGTCTTCTCTGTTCAGTACTTGTCCAAGATTTTTTGGAGATAAAGGTCCAGAAACCTGCTGGACTGCCCTTTAAATCTAACTTAAAGGCTAGCAATAATAATTTCAGTGCTAGTTCAGGATATACAGATATGTTCATCCATAAAGCAGGTTTGTCTGAAAGGCCAGTTGAAAGATACTAAAGAATGGTAAAGGAATTGTTATAACTCAGGCCTTCTTAATGATCACAAGAAAAGCAACCCGTCATTGAAAGATCTGAAGTTTGACACAGTATCAGAGAGCTTGTGATAACAGATGAGGAAGGTTCATCTAATTGAAAACAAACCACTAGATGAAACACCTAAAGCACCTAAGGCATGGAAATGATTATAAACATGATCAAACCACTCAGATGTAGTCTTGAAGAATATGTGCTGGAAGCATTGCTTTTCATTGTCATACTGTTGTTTTTCACATTTATCCTTATAAAAATAAATCACATGCCTCAATCAAAACATGAGCCTTTCATTGTGAGACTTCTGTTTTTCAAATTTATCCTCATAATAATAAATCATGTGCCTCAATCAGAACCTGAGCTTCAATTAAAAATGCTCTTCTTGTGCTTTGTTTATGAACAGCTACTACAGCACCATCATGCAGTACATGAAATTTCATACATCGCAAAGGATATCACAGACCATCGGGCCTTTGGATATGTGTGTGGAAAGGAAGGGAATCATAGATTTGTGGCAATAAAAACAGCCCAGGCAGTAAGTATCAAGATTATTGTCATTTTCTATAGATTAATTTAATTTGATAGCTCTGTCTAGAACACTGCTGCTTTGAAAGGACAGCCAGCAAGCATTGTTTATGCAGTATATAATACTGTCAGAAGTGCCCACATAAATGTTCTGAAATGACACTTTAGCAATATCAGTCTTGGAAAGAAATGAGCACAGTCATCCTTCCCAGTTTTTTCTTGATGTATTCCTTCTAATTAGTAATTATTTTCCTTTCTAATTAAGCTGTATACACTAGCTGAATACAAATCAGCTTACTTAGTCCCCTCCACTCATTTAGATAGAAAATAATGGACAACAAATAGCTATTTTGCATGGCCTACTCTAATTTCTTTGTATTTAAAAAAAGTTAATAAATATAAGCAACATCTTTTATGTTCATAATTTTAATTACCATTAATTTGCAAATATAATTAGTTTTCAGTATATAGAAATGTACCTTCACCTAGTTAAGATGTACAGCTAGACCAATATAAACAAAGAACAAATTAGTTCAATAAGAATAGATGGGACTCCCTCCCACCCATCTCACAGAGATGCCTAAGGCTGCATTTGTAAGTTTACAAAGCCACATTCAGACACATCAGTTTCAATCTCAGATAATATGTAATCAACC